GGGAAAGAGGGAAAGAAAGGATCACCTCTCTTAAGAGGATATGAAGTTTTAACTTTCCTACCAAATTATATCCTGGACAAAGCACAGCTCTGATACAGGTACCACACTTCTTAGAGAGCATTTTAAAACTAAACCCATCAAGTCTGTTGGTGTCTGTTAGTGACATCAGAAACGTCACTTTGCATCAAATGAGCAACCAGGGGTGCTCTGCATCCTTCAAATCTCAGGAAAGGAGCAAACTTGAGGACCCCAGGACACAGCTGGTGCCCCGTAAGCAGGAAGGGCAGCCCAAAGCAGCTCTTCGATGGAGCGCCGGGCACGTTCAGGCTGCTGCAGCGGGAAGATTTAAGATTTACATGCAAAACTTGTTAACGTTTATGCAAACACAAAGCCTATTTTGTAAACAACATATTTATGCCTTTAGGAATACATGAAGTTAACATAAGGAAATGCATCCACTATATAAGCACTGCATCTGTGCTCCTGTTTATTTATGAACAAATAATGCCTAATAAAAACAACGCTCTGCACCGTGGACTGCTGGCAGGGCTCTGCCGGACAGGCAGGATCCTTCAGTGCGACCCCAAGCAATGAGGCTGCTCATTTTAAAGTGCTCCAATGCTCACTTTAACCACTCCAGTAAGAGATCATTGGATCGTAAGCAGGAAAAAACAGAGTCGTTCTTCAGATTTCAGTACAAGCTACGAAGAGCACTACCTTTAGATGTATTTACAGCTTTCCAGGTTAGGGACTTTTTAACACTACCAGTGGATATGCCTTCATATCAGCTTATACAGTTACAAGTAACACATTTACATATGATTTTAGCATATTCTTCAGTTTTCAACATATTGCAGCATGCATTGTGCTAAAATACATCCTTTCATGCCCTGAGCTTCTGTGCATCAGTGACTCCAGCCCAGGGGAACATCAAAACTGCTCAAACCCTCATCTTTTGTGCACCCTCTCTGCAGTCACGCAGCGGAGCTGAGGATACAGGTGCTCCAGGAAGCTGCAACTTTAATGCTCTGATAGGTTCCTCCTAATGCATCCGTGACATACCCAGAAAAAGCTCCTTGCTTGCAGAAGCCAACGTCCTGGCCAACGCTCACACCTCGCTTGTGTTAGACCTTCTGTGTCACATCTCTGGCTGACAAAAGAGACTGAGGTGAGGAAAAAAACTGCCAAGGAACACTTGCTGCTTTTGCTGTGTTCACCTGCCACCCTAGGGCGGTCACGAGAAGCCCAGGTTAGCTTAGGCAAAGCTCGGGGCCAAAAGGAGCCCTTTTGCTACCAGACTTGGAGCAGTGCTTCCACCAGAAAACTCTGCCAAGGGCCTGGGAGCAGCTTCACGCCCACATCCTTGGCCAGGCAGGGCAGGATAACATATGTTAAAGAGGAATGTATGTAAAGATGTAGCATATGTAAGGATTGAAACCTTGGGGAGAGCAACAGAGAATCAACTCTTAAATGTGTTCTTCTATACATTAAAATCATGTAAAACATGTTTATTTTAAACTATCTGTGGACATATATCCTAAAACATACTCAGAGGTATTCTACTTTGTTAAACATCAGTTTATTTACTTTTCTATCTCTTTTCCAACTACATGCTTACAAGGATTTTTCCCAAATACCTTATCAAGACCCTCCGATCAAAACACTGTTTTATCTCAGTAAAAAGAAGTCCTATCTGAACCACCTTATCATCCAATATAAACACATTCCAATCCCATAAATTAGCACATTACCAGACACTACTGTTTTATTATTTAACTAGAACTAAAACAAAGAAGTAGCCTTGCAAAGCCTACTCATTGCTAACTGCACTTCTGATACAAGAACTGATAAAAGATCCCAAATAAATACAAAGCAAATGCCTCTTTGGGCCCTTTTGTGTTCTGAATATCTACACATTAACAATGTTCAACCTATTGCAGGATACAGTTTGGAAATAAGATTATATCCATATTATCTTCAAGCAACAACATAATCTATCCCTCTAGTCAGCAGGCCAAGAAAAGCTACCATAGTAATAAGGTGAGTAAACAAAGTGGTAGCGTTTAAATAAGATGAACAAAAAGTGAGATGAATTTATAGAAGAATGGTAAATGTCCCTGGATCCACATACCACTGTCTAGTTGCTTTTATTAAAGAAATCACTATTTTGCAGTTTTCATTAACTCAATGAAAATGCAGAATCAATGCTGAACTTTTCTGTAATTATACAAACACAGCACGTAGTTCTACCTGTTCTGCCGTACTTGATCTTAAGACTCATAGTCAATACCAATAATTAACGTCTTGAAATTTAACAAAATACAAAATGATAGTGTTTTCTTCAGAACTACTATCTGTATTCAAACAATAAAAAACTAGATGAATTTATAGTAGCCAAAGACAATGTATTTTACAGGAAGCTGTCACATTTCTGGGTTACTAACTGACATTTCAAGAAATCCTGAGGAGAAAAAACATTTTCTTTTGCAAAACAACACTAGCAAACATGTGAACGAGGATTATGAGCATTAGTTTAAAACAAACAAAAACCCGAGCTCTGAATCGTTAACATCATTACAGCTACATTCTACTAGAGTAGCAAGAGGAAGAAAATTACTACGAATTAGTAACAACAATTCCTGTATTTAATGTTATTTAAAAATCAAAGTGTTACCTAAGGCAATTACCTTGCAGCCTTTTAATATCTACAGGGAAAAGCCTAAGGGGAAATAATTGACTTTGCTAATTTTACCCTTGGCAATTATAAAATAGCTCTGCATTTCATTATGACTGCAGAATTTCACATCTAATTGTCAGCCCCGGGAGAAGCGCAGAGATAAATGCATCAAGCCCGAGCTTAGGCAAGAGTTTAACAGCACAATAAAATTAGCTTGGTAGCAATGGTTTCAGGTAATGTTAAAAAGCCCTTTAGTTTAAATTCCTGCCTACACATCATCACGCATGTCCGTGCAGATGTTATAGTTTACTGTGGTCACTGCCATTCGCAATAAAATGCTGCTTATGGCATTAGTCAATTTGTTGAGCTACCAAATGCCAGCACAAAGTAGTACTACGATTTTTACTTTTACTTCAAAGAAAACAAAACATTTTGAAGAAAAAAAGTCACAGTTATTTCACACTGCTGAAAAACACATGCCAGATTTGAAAATTCATCATTTACAAAAGAATAAATACAGTATGTTTAAATCACTGCACCTGTCAAGAGATTTCTATAGCTTGTATTTCAATTTTTCTAACTTTGCTAGTAAGGTTAGACATATGAAAAAGAATAATTTACTAAGTCAATCAGTTTCCATAATGGCATCCCACTTATCGTATGTAGAAGCTATGAAAGTATTTAGATGTCAGAAAAATGAAAAAAGTGCTAAAATGTTTTGGCAGAATTTTCCGACATGCAGTATAATGATTGCTTAAAAAATAAGAAAAGAAAAAAAATTCTTTGCACTTGTGCTTCGTTTTACTGTAGGCTTGTTTCCTGGCAAGTCTTACGGGAATGCTGCTGCAATACTTAATGGTGTACTAAATCCAAAGCAATAGACGCTGCATTTTGTGAAAGTTTTCTCTAAATTGAAGCCAAAATTATACAGTAATATTCTTTGGTCTGTTTTGAGGATCTTATGAAGTACAAAAAAAATGCAATTCAACAATTGTTAGTAAAATCAATTACAACATATGTTGGCTACAGTATAAAAAAATAGAAGTCCATTTTAATATTCGCTACCAGTTCTCTCTGATGGCTTAAATCCACTGTCCCAGCAGATTTATGTTTCCTGTCCCTTTTCTCCTAAATCTCACTCTACCAGTGTTACAAGATGACACCACTTTTGGGAGAAACTGTCCCACCGATGACAGGAGCAGGACACAAATTCACAACTACCATCAGGAGGAACTGACCATAACCATCTAAAAGCAAGGGACTCGCCAAGCTCAGAATTAAAACCACATCGATTATTGACTATCGTACACATGATATACATTTTTTTCTTGCAATGACAAGTAGGAGTTTTCAAACACACAAAAACATTCCTGTAGAGAAGAACTGTAGTCTGCTTCCATCAGAAGAATACACGAAGCTTTCTAGCTGCACATGTAGCTAAGGCTTCATAGGGGTGTCGGGGAATCTGCATCATGGAAGGTTTGAAGAACAATACAGATCAACACGTCAGGGATGATTTGGTAGAGCTGGCCCTGCCTGGGGGCAGAGGAACGGGCTAGGGCTAGACAGAGGATCTCTCGAGGTTTCCATCTGCCTCATTTTCCAAGCCTACATCCATAAAGAGCAGTTCATTTAACAGTGTGGCTCAGGAGTTGGACCCTGTCTGTCCTTTAAAAGCCACAACATTGCTGTTTATAGGGCAACCCAATACTCAAAGATGTCCAGCTGCCTAACAAAATTTTACAACAAGCAGTAAGTCACCCGGGAGCTGTGCAGACCGGGAAGCGAAGCCCCTTCCCGCAGGAACTCTCCGAGCCGGACGGGCCGTGTTCCCCTTCCCAGGGGACGGAAGGCAGCACACCCGCAGCCGGCCGCCTGCCCGACGCCAGCGCGGCGCGAGGACGCCACGGGGCACCCCAACCCGTGTCCCCAGCCCGCCCGCTCATCCGCCGCCAACGCTGCTGCAAATTGTACAACAGCCTTACCACAGGAGCTCTGCCATGGAACTGCAAACACGTACAAGCAGCAGCATTCAGCTGATGCATCTACAGCTATAACGTCACTACGCTGATTTTTAAAGGATGTTCCATACATATTTACACATTTACCACACCTTAACTAGGCTTATTATTATTAGTTTTCTTTTATAGAGCTCTCTTTCTGCTGATTAGCTAATAGCTACTTGCTTTGTCAGAAAAAGCAGTTTTCAACTCTTTTTACCTTGGTATTCTGCAACTGAGCAAGGCTTGTGCAAGCATTTGCTAGAAGAAAGTCTCCACTCAGAACAGCCATTTTATTTCCAAACTGCATGTCCTTCAGCGGGCCGTCGCAGGACTTCAGCTCGCCGATATTTACTATGCCACGATGCACCAGAAAGGCCGTGTGGATCAATTCTGTGATCTCTGCCAGGCTTCTCTGACTGAAAGCAAACAAACAAAAATACCATTTACTTAAAAAGCTTAGAAAAGAAAAGAAAAGAAAAGAAAAGAAAAGAAAAGAAAAGAAAAGAAAAGAAAAGAAAAGAAAAGAAAAGAAAAGAAAAGAAAAGAAAAGAAAAGCATGGACCAGAAAGTACTGCTGGGGAAGACTAAAAAACGAGACCTGCACGGACTCACGGGCCAGCTAACCTAACCCCCTAAAAGGCTGCTATAAAGGACAGCTCAACCCAGAGTTACACTGACAGCAGGATCCCTTGCAGTTCAGCACTACAGTGGTTGGGAGCAGGAGGGGAGCAGCAGCTCCATGTTTTCCAGCAGGGCAGTGGTGACGTTTCACTAAGTCAGTAGATGCAATGGGGTCTGTCTGTAGCAAATCAAACTGTATTTGTGCAGCTTTACAAATTAATTTCTTAGCCCAAGACCCAGTGTAGTACTGCTGAATTTAATTTCAAATCCTTGTGACACACACGGACATACACACAAATAATAATTATTTTCTGACATGAGGCTTGCCTTGTATGTACTTTTATTTTTGGAAAAGGCATGAAAGTCGTGAAGCAACACAGCTCCCCTTCCCTCTTGTTCAATTCTGCATCCCCAAACAGTTGGTGACGGTCACTCCAAGAAGCACAGACAGGTCACCTTAGGCCAGAACCACTCCACTGGGATAAACAGGCAAAATAACCAAACAGCGGCAAGAGGAGGGGGATACAGCAACACACTGAAGCATCCTGTTGGTACCACGAAGCTAGATATATGTAGGCTCACTCACACTCTTTGTGCAGTTCTCCACATCACGGGGACTTCTCTCCTGAGCAAAGCGAATGCCCTTAGCGAGTCTGACTAAGGCCTCACAGCCCAGGCGGAGGCGCGGCCCAGGCCAGAGGCGCATCACGCTCCGCGCGCTCGCTCGGAGGCGGCCGCATGCCCGCGCATTCGCGCTCGGGAAGCCCTGCTGCGGCGCCTGAGTCCTATCCATCATTTAATGGTGTTTCCTCTGGACAGCACCGATGTGGTGTACTGGGACTGGATTATATTAAACTAATCTGCCCTGAGTATGTCGGCAATGCCAAGAGCCCCAGGAGCCCCTTCAGCCAGTGCCTGGCTCTGAGGAGCCAGGAGAGCCACAAAGCCTAAGAAAGCACCTAAAAGGCAGACAAACTGGGCAGGAAAGAAACAGGGGTTCCCAATATTTTGGCACACAGGCACACACATATACATCCATAGTTAATTGTTTTAAAAGCTGACTTTATAACTCATAACCTATGACGGCAGCCCAGTATCATACTCCTTCCTGGCTCGGACCCTAGCAAATTCCCAGCTCGGAGGGGACTAACAAGGCATCTGGAGGCAGCGCGGGGAGGAGAGTTCCGTGACGCAGAGCGGCCAGGGAGGCCTGAGCCCGCAACCTGCCCTGCATGGCAGCGAGGGCC